TTTAGAAGATTATAAATTTGGAAACAAATGGCAGCATGCACTTTACTGTTATCTGCATTTAAATTACTACATCTGTTTCTCATGTTGGTTCTCTGTTTTATGCAGCTTGACTTTGATTCAGAGTTCACAAGCCTAAATGTAGACATCATTGTGACTGTAAGATTTCTCTTTTAATTAGTTCTTTTGGATGCACAGATGACGTCGAGCAATTCCTTGCCTGCATGCTTTGGGGCATCATATTGCTATGTTAATTACTTAGGTTTTAACATCCGGAGTTTATGCATATGTTGTAAACCAGTTGTTGAATAACTCATTTCGGTCAGCCCTGCACATGTTGTTATGTTGTCTACGAAGGCAATGTGCCTACAGTGTTAGTGTTTCATGATGTACCTGCACTCTGTTATACTAAATTAGTTGTGTCGTTTGTCTAGCCATCAATGTCTTGGTTCTGATTTTGATTTTATGTCTGGTTCATTATCTACCATGCCACTTGTGGACCGTCCTATTTAAAAGTTTATACATTCAAAATCAAGCACCAACTTGAAGCCCATTAGACCGAATAAAAAACCATGTCCCGTCGTACTACCGCTATACTTCCCGAGCAAACCAATTAACATTACCTCTTCTAGCCCTCAGAAAAGACATTCGTCTCATCTGTTGTGCTAACAAATGTATAAGCTTTGGCAAATTGATATCTTTGTATATTGAAGGAAATTCCTAACATTCCATAGTAGAAATAGACGGGCGCAGCAACGCGCGCCATCAATGATCTAGTAGAGTTTTATGAGAGCTCCTATACGGCGCATGATCAGGGCTGACCCAGGAACACGCAAGGCATTTATAGCGCGAAAACCTCTCAAAAAATCGCTCCGGTGAGGATTTGAGCTTGCGCCGTTCAGATATAGAGTTTTACTAGCAAAAGGGCCCGTGCGTTGCAACGGGAGAAAAGAATACCACACACACTTAATTTACAAAAAATGGTCTATAATCTGAGTACTTGTGGCTGCGGCCCAAACAAAGATGGTCTTTGCCAATAAAAACGCAAGTTCAATATTTCACATGTCTTCTATTTAAACACGGCTTGCTTATAGATTTAATACGTACAAAGAAATGGGCGAAGAAACGGGCAAGTGATCTTCAATTTCGTCTCCAATCCTGATTTTGCGGAGATGTTCATCCACAATCCGGATCAGTACCGATATGACAGAAAAATGGATAATGCACTGTTGATTAAGATTGCACCCTAGATATTATTATTTTAAATGGTTAACCGGTAAAATAACGTCATATTCAGATTTTATATATTTTCTAATCAAATTCCATATATAACATGTCAAATTTGGAGTTACGGTTTAGAAGATATTGATATTTTAAAAAACATTTGATATGTACTCCGGGTTTAATGTCAGAAACATCGGGGAGGGTTTCTATAAATAAGTATGACGGACTAAGAATAGATATTTCTTTTATTAGTAGGTATAGGTATAGATGGGAGGGAATATCTTATTTGACGCTCTCTGCGTCAAGCTGTCGAGGCTTCGCATAAGAGCTGGCGATCGAACGATGAACTGGCTGGCCCATTAACAGTGTCCGCGTTTCCGGTTTTGGGAATCTTCTACAGTTTCCCAGACGGTTTTTTCTAGATTTGGCAAACTTCTAGAAGGTTCCCTGAACCGGTTTTTTCTTTCTTTTTGATTTTTGATTTTTACTTTTTATCTTTTTCTGTTTATTTTTCTACTTCATTTTATCTTTTCTTTTCTTTTCTGTTTCCTTTTTTCGTTTCTTTTTTATTTTCCAAAAAAGTTCATGTTAAAAAAATTGTTCGTAGACTTTAAAAAATTGTTCTCACTTTTAAAAAACGTGATTTTAAAAAAAATGGTTTGTGTTTTCCGAAAAATTCATAAATTCTAAAAATGTTCGCATTTTAAACAAAATGTCCTGGGATTTAAAATTTTTCCCCTTTTTCAAAAATGTTCAGAATGTTTTTGTTCAATTCTGTCAGGAAGTTTCATATAATGATTGATATTTAAAAAAATGTATCTTTTTTTACAAAACGAATTTACAAAAAAAATCAAAATTTTGTTAATGTATTTAAAAAAATTTCGTGTTCAAATTTGTTTGGGATTTTCAAAAAATGTTTTCCATTTCAAAAAAAATCGAAAAATTCAAATTTTGTTCGTGATTTTAAAAATTGTTCCCGTTATGAAACAATAATCACAAATTTCTTTAATGCTTGTTCAGGTTTCTTACCAGTTTTTTTATCGTTTTTTCTGCTTATGTTCTCCTGTTCTTTTTTGTTTTAAGAACATTTCACAGTTTTAAAAATGTAAAAAACAATGTTCATGTTTTTAAAAAATGTTCAAAAACTTAATATTCTCGTTTTCAAATTTTTTTCTGAGTTTGAAAAAGTGGTTTCATTTCAAAAATTGTTCACAGATTTAAAAACTGTTCATGTTTTCAAATTATGTTGAGAGTTAGAAAAAATGTTCCCTTTGTCAAAAATTGTTCACATATTCAAAAAATGTTCCCTTTATCAAAACTTTGTTCACATATTCATAAAATGTTCGAGTTTTTATTTTTCATCTCAAATTTGAGAATTATCCGCTTGTAAGAAAAAATCACATTTTTCAATATATTGTTCGAGTTTGGAAATTGACAAAATGTTCGGATCTGACATTGCCTATAGTTTCGCGTGCCATCTTAAACCATCAAAGCACGTTTATCCCGTTGGCTAGCCACTCGGGTAAACAACAGGAGGTCCCTTGTTCGATCCCTCCCATGTTGCGGTGTTGCCTAACCACTAGAGCTACTAGGAGTTAGTGAATGGTTACAACATGAAATGTATAAGAACAAACTGTAGCTGCGCTATTTATTTTACATACATTTTAGAAAAAAATGTAATTTTTTAGGAAAATAATGTGAAGAAAATTTGAAAGCTCAAAGATTTAAAAAAAGCCATGAATTAGAAAATAGTTCATGTATCCAGAAAAAGTTCACGAATTAGGAAAAGTTCATCGATTTTGGAAAAAAGTTCAAAAAGTTGAAAAGGTTAATTGATTTTGAAAAAAAGGTGATCACTTTTGAAAAAAGTTCATTGATTTTCAGAAAAAGTTCAAAAATTCATAAAACAATATCGATTTTGAAAAAAATAATGTATTTTCAAAAATTCATGATTTTGAAAAAAAAAGTTCAGCAATTTGAAAAAAGTTCACAGAATCAGAAAAAAAAGTTCATGGAATTTAAAAAAAGCTCATCTAATTTCAAAATAAGTTCATCAATTTGTAGAAAAAGTTCACCTATGTGCAAACAATTCATCGAATCAGGAAGAAGAAAAAAGGAAAGAGAATGAAACAAGGAAAAACAAGGAAAAATGAAAAAAATGTTGAAAGTTAGCAGATCCTGCAGGGTGGCGGGGTGGTTACACCAGTGCATTTCCATGATTGTGGTCGCTGGTTTGAATCGCAAACAGCGCGAATATTTTTTGCGGATTGTAAACATGGAGAAACGACATGGGACGGCCCAGCGCCGGCCGATTCACGCGCCTGTTTGTAAAATACACAGTAATGGGCGCCTGAGGCGCCAAAGAGGATCGACGTGTTTTGTACCACTAGGCATATGTGGGGCCTACGTTGGACCTTGGGCCGGGCTAGGAATTCAAGTAGGCCGAAATATTCGGCCCGCTGATATATATACCAATCCTAGACAAGATGGACAAATATTGGGCGAAGAACAGAAATTTCGGGTGAAATCCAGAACTCTGCTCGTCACCGTTGTGTTGATGATGTATCTCGTTGTCCCCTGGCGTGTAGTCCGGTGGCCGCGGGTGGCATAGTTTGGCTTGGCGCACACCCTGTAGGGCAGCCCCTGAATTGATAGAGGTGGCGGCTGGGTGAGGGGAACGACTTGGGGTAAGTGAAAGAAGGGAAAAGAAGAGAGATGGTTTGGGTTGCAGCCGTCGAGTGGCACCACGACGCCGTCATCCCAGTCCCCGGTGTCGGTGGTGCTGGCTACAGTGTGTCAGGGTCAGGTGGTGTACGAGGAGGCAGTGGCGGCTGGGTGAGGTGAATGGCTCAGGGTGATTTGGATGAGGAGATAGAGATAGGGAGCTTGGTTGGGTAGGTAGGTGACGTGGCAGGGTGACTAGTATGCTGACTAGGCATTCAATCGACAAAACTAGTAAAACCGAGATTAAACTGGTTTGAAGGGAGACATGGCTGATATTTGGCTGGTTTTAAGAGTTTAAGAAGGTAAAGTAGATGGTTCTGAAGTTCGAGATAGTTTCTTAAACTTTAGTGGCAATTCAAGGTTGTAACGTGGACTTCTCTTATTTATCCAAAACATTGCAAACATCTATTTTCAAGGACAATCAAGATTGCATTCTAATAACCAAATGATGTATTGTAAAAACCTTTAATGTTAGTATTTTACATATATTATGTAAAGCAAACAATAGCATTTTTCATAGGATGGTTAACAATTAGTGAACTACTGCCTCCAACTGTTTTTGCTTGATGCTCATTAGTTCAAATGTCACAAATGAGAACCGAAGCAGTATTACAGTGGCTTTATTTTGGCAAGAGATATCTTAGCTACCAAGTGTAAATGTCCGGTGTGACTTGGATGCAAGCCGATTACTGTCTGATATTATCAACTACTATCTTGCAAAACTTCATGAAAGTAAAGATCAACATGAAAGTAACAAAGAAAAGTGCTAGTATTTAGCAAGGGAAAAACATAGTTTTGCTAAATGCTAAACTATAGTATTTTGGGCCCACTATCTCAAACTAAACTGAGAGTTTGCAAACACAATATCCGGTGATAGAAATGGAAAAAAGTACCACCTCTCCTTTATTCTATTCATATTTCATTTTAACACAATATAAGAGTTTTACGAGAACATTACTCACCTAAGTAAGAACATGTTCAAAATTCTTGTAGAGATCTGATTGTGAAATAAGAGAATTCATGGTGGCTAGTAGAATGGATTGGCATAGACAGCTTCATCGGGTGGACGCGGGACTGCTGTCCATTGGTGGCCCTGTCGTATAATTATACGCTGTCTCAAACATAGTGTTGTTCTGGCTCACACCAATGGACTGGTTAATGGTAGCATTGTAACCCATGTGTGGGTTCATGCCACTACCGCCGCTGCCTTCCTCCAGATCGAGGCACTCCTGTAGCTGCATCACCACCTCAGTCATGGAGGGCCTCTGCGCGGGAGCTTGCTCAGTGCACATGAGTGCAATGTTTGCTGTCTTCCAAACGGCATTGATGTCATGATCACCTTGCATACGCGCATCCACTATGCCTTCAATGTCGCCCCGTGCAAGTAGTTGTCGTGCCCAGTTGATGATGTTGATGGGCCTGGGGTTGCGTAGGATGGCTGGCTTTCCTGTGACTAGCTCTAGCAGAACGACACCAAAGCTATACACGTCGCTCTTGGTCGACGGATACATTGTTCTCTGATACCTACAAACATGTACCTTTACTTAGAAACATTGCGTGCATAGAGGTTAGCTTGGAGGAGAGCGGAAGAGATCAATCGTACTCTGGATCTACATATCCGTGTGTGCCGGCAAACGTGTTGGTGGATACATTGGTGTTATCGTCGCAGGTGAAAGCCTTGGACAAACCAAAATCGGCAATCTTGGCCTCTAACCTCGCGTTTAACAAGATGTTGGCGGTTTTGACATCCCTGTGAATTATAGGTGGGTTGCACCCCTTATGAAGGTACTCCAGACCTGCGTATCATCAGTCTAGCCAATGTTCAACATTCTTTAAGAACAACATGTTTGAGGGTAGGTGACTGCATTTTTTAGTGGTGTACCTTGTGCAGATTCAAGTGCGACTTGGAGTCTTTGTCTCCATGGTAAACCTCGTCCGCTGTTGTCTTCCCCTACAAATATATACAAAGACATTGTAATTTTTACACCAGTTGACACTTCAAATGGTAATATATAAATAACAACTGAAGTAACACTCCATCGTCTTGCACTTTGGCATGCATGTATCTTATTGCAAATAGTGATCAAATTCTAACTATGTACTGTCAAATTAACAACTTGCATACTTGCAATGTGCTCTTGTAGGGTTCCTTGAGGCATGTACTCATAGACAAGTGCCATGTGCACCCCATCCTTGCAGTAACCAATCATGGACACAAGATTCTTGTGATGAATCCGTGTTAAAACTTGAGCCTGGACAAGTGATCAGGACTTGGTGAAATTTCTTGGTACAAACTTCTATGTAGTAAAACTAGAAGTTCTAGTGAAATTTCTTGGAACAAATTTCTGTGTAGCAGAACAAAAAGTTCTACCTCTGCGAGGAATTGTTTGACACCTTGATTTGAAGAATGAGACCTCAACTTTACTGCCACCTGAGTGGCATCTTCCAGGCAGCCGTGGAAGACATACCCGAACCCTCCTTGGCCAAGCACTCGCCCGAAGTTGTTCGTTATTGTCTCCAGTTCCATGTACGTGAACCGACGGTTCTCAAGTCGAAGCGAACTATTCCCATCGCCATCACTTGTCAGCTTTACAGAATAATTGATTGATACTGTGATAGGCACCCAATGGCACAAGCCCACAACAAATATCAGCGTTGGGTTTTCATGGATAGGGGAAGTGGATCCGAGAATGTTTGTGCTCGTTTATAAGACTCACCTTGCTTTCTTTTTCTTTGGAAGCAAAAGCATAGTACTGCCACTAATACTAACACCACAATCACAACTACAGAAACAGCTATGTAGATGGCTAGTTTGGTGCGCCCTTCAGCAAGCTGAGATGAGTTGCCATTAGTACAGAGATCGGGATTGTTGACATATCTACAAGAAAAAGAAATCAAGTTGCTTAATCGAATTTATTGAGTACCAGTAGGATGTAATCGGAAAAATGAGGGAACTGACCTCAAATCCAAGGACCCATCCTGAACTTTTTTGATAAGTCCATAAGGAATGGATCCATTCAGATTGTTGTTTGAGAGATCTCTACAGAAAGTAAAACAATATTGACATGAGTGAAAGAAAACGTAAGGGAACATATTCAAATTAACTTAATCAGAGTTGTTGCAAAACTTACAAAAATATTAATGATTGTATTCGTGAAAGGGTGTCTGGAATTGATCCTGTTAAATTATTGTTTGAGAGATCCCTGCAACATATTTTTTGTCACCACTTTTGCTGAAAAGAAATAAACAATACATACTACATGGAAAGGTAAAATTGGTAGATCTACAGAACAGAACGTACAAGTATTGGACGTCCATTAGATTTGCGAAATTTGGCGATATACCACCATGCAGACCATTGAAGGACATGTTTCTAGAAATTAAGAGCAAAGTGGCTCAGTTTTAGTCTTATCAGACAAACTAAATCAGTATAGAACTATAGATATGAATTACTTACACGTTTCTAATTATGGGAGGTTTGGAAACGTCGTAGCTGCAGGTCAACCCATCCCAGCACAGAGCCTTGGGAATGCACGGGTCACCCATCCAGTTCTTGTGCACCTGGTATATCTCCTTGATTGCGGTGATGGCAGATACTGTTAACAGAAAACCAATTGTCAGTAACATGCATGAACGAAATTACGACAATGACTAGCGAGCTAGCTCATGTATGCATATGATCGCACCGTCCTGTGTGTCGGTGCCCTGGATGGTAGTTGGGATCACGGCGAATAGCTCAATGCCAATGTTTTTTCCCGACCCCTCCCTCCCCTCCCCCGTCCCTGTGCTCGCGCCGCCTCCCCGGGGGGTGGCCGGGGCGGCCCCCTTCGAGCTCCTCTCCTCCCCCCTCCCCCGTGCTCCTCCCCCCCGCCGCCGCCGGCGGAGCCCCCGGATCTGGCCGGGCGGGCTGGCGGCGGCGGGCCCTTCCTTCCCCCGCGCGCGCTCCCCCTGCCCCGGGGGCAGGGCTGGCGGCGGGTGCCCTTCGGCCGGCGGCGGCCCGGCGACCTGGTGGCGGCTGGCGGTGGCCCGGCGCGGTGGTGGCGCCGTCCTTTGGCGGCGGGGCGGCTTGGTGGCGCTGGTTGGCCAGCGGCGCGCCCGGCCCAGATCTGGGCCCTCGGGGCTCCATCTGGGTCCTTGCGGGCCGGCCCCCGGGCGTGTTCTCGTTGTCTGCAGCGTGGTGAGGAGGAGGAGCAGCTCGGTCTTGGGGCGGCGGCTCCGACGGCGTGTCGGCAGCAGCGCGAAGGCGGGAGCTTTACGAGCCCACGAGGGCTCGGCCGGGCCTGGTGTGCTCCTGCTATTGCGTCCGGACGGCTACCGTCGCTGACGGTGGAGGTGGGGCCCTCCCGCGTGCCGACGGGTTGTTGCCCTAGTCCCGGCTCTGATTCCTTGCCGTGCTGTCCTCACTTCGTGGTGCCGTCGTGAGACGGCATGGGGGCCTCGTGACCGCGTTAGCGCACGGTGGTGGTTGGTTTGGTGGCAGGCTCCGGGGCGCCCGAGGTGCGGGTTGGGATCGGGGGAAACCCCTGTCGGCATGGCCGACACCGGTGCGGTGGCGCCTGTGGGTGCCTCCTGACCTTCCGGGAGGGCATCGGGGCTACCCTTCCTCTCGCCTCGTCGTGTATCGGGGGAAACCCTTGGCAGCAGCGTCGTCATCGTCGCGATCCTTCTTGGAGGTGTTGATAGGTGCCGGCGCTTCGGAGTCTTGGAGTCTAGTGGAAGAGCCTGGTGGGCGCTGCGATCACGAGGCTTCTTCGCTTTTGTTGATCCGCCGTTGTCGGCATTTGTTTCTTTTGCTTTTCTCTATCGTTTCTTTTTGGGCGTGTCTGTGCTGCTTTCGCCCCAGCACCTTTCCTGTATGGTTTGTTTGGTTGCTTTGTATACAAAGCGGGGGGAAACCCTTTTTCAGTAATAGCTCAATGCCGTTTATGATGGGCGGTAGCGTCGACGTAGCGGTGGCGTTGAGGGAGACCTTGTACTGGTCGACTTGAAAGGGCTCGGATGAGTAGATGTAATCGGTCACAAGGTATGGCGGAGTGTAATTTGAGTGCCTCAGCACGTCATTCCGGTAGAAGTTGTACTCCCGTCGTGCCTTTGTTTGAAGATGCTCCAGTTCACAGAAGTACAACATATGGATGTACCCCAGGTCACTAGGGAAACTCTGGAGGTCCAAGGTAAACTCTATGTTATTGGAGACGTGCTGCGGCGTGACGGCCGTCTGCATCACTGCCTCGGGCAGCTGGAAGAGCTCGTCATCAATTTTCACCTTTTCCCCAGTTTTTATCTCAGCCCAGTCCGAAGTTAAACCTGTGAAGCAGAACGAGGGCCTGCGTCTCGTTGGCCAGTGGGTAGAGCTTGATCGTCAGCGGCCTCAGATCCAGCCCAGAGATGAACGGCACCCCGCGGCCGGTGTTCATCAGGCAAACCTTCACGAAATCGTCCGGCACGACCGTGATGGCCTCCGCATACACTGCTGATCGGATTTTGAGATGTTCATCGTCGTCCAAAAATTAACGCCGATGTAGAGGTCGAAGATGGGTAGCATGTTCAGCCCATCGTAGTTGCCATACAAGAACTGGCCCCGGATGAGGTACTTGAGCCCGGATACGAGTGAGCCCAGAGTGTAGCAGTTGCGCTTGCCACTGGGGAAGCTACGTACACTGTGCATACTCGTGGGAATGGACGGGTTGATGTACTGAGCGGAGATGTTGTGGTTTATGCCGGCATTAGTGTCGATGAAGCCAGCGTCCGTCGTGTAGTACAAAGAGGTGGTGTTATCCCTGTCGCATGTCTCCGCTGGAAGACCGCAGTCTATGCTTATGAAATCTGCAGTTTTCAGCTATATAAATTAGAGATTCATTCATAGTGGAATGGCGGTGCCAGGATGGTAAATTTGTGAGGTCAAAGAGATGATTATCATAAATTTTACTTGATTTTTGAATTTTCTTTATATGAATACACACATGGATACGCCATTCGTAGGTGCACCAATTTTTGCAGGAAACTAAACATTCATACGTCTTCCATACCATTGTTGTCGGGCTGGGCATGAGCTTGCGGTGCCCTGCAGACGAGGCAGAGCAGCAGCAACCATGGCACGACTGCCATTGTCCTCGGCGTTGGTTGCTCCATCGATAAGCAACCGGCAACTGTGACCACCACTAGGAGCTACAGATATACACTCGTAGGCTGGAGCAAAGTATCTGCCGGGCCTTCTTATATTGTAAGTAAGGCCTAGGTAGCCGGCTAGGGTCGACGCAAGAGTTGTGGATGGAACGGCCGGAAAGTGATGTCTGTGGTCGGGGCAACAAAACGACTAACTACCATGACCGCCAAGGACTTTGAACTCGTCCTATGCGTGTGAAACTGAAGGTACGTGTGCAGGTTGAACAGCGTATGCCTCACGCCACAGCATCTCTGTCACCGCATGTACTCCTCTCCCTCTGTCACGTCCAGCCTGTCATGCCACCTCTTTTGCCTTTCCAGGAATCTTACAAAAAAATTTGCATTTCCCATTGGTTGTGATTTACTATAGTATAATTATTGTGACCATCTGACGGGTCAAGGCTGCCTACTAGTATCTGACATGTTTATATACAATTATAAAAATCAAACGTGTGTGATTCGTCTAACTAAAAGCAGGACCATCGGGATGTAATTTTTACTTCTGGTGTCCTTTCTACTACCTTGACAGTTGATGGATAGATAGTGAGTTTTCACAAAAAGAAAGCCAAGATTTCAAATTTTAGACATATAATTTCTTAATGTATGACCACCGCTAAGCTCGGCTCCAGATATCCACTCGCTGCTGATAACAAGTACTATCAGCCACCCCTTATTTTGTGGTGGGTAACGCCTGGCAAGCCAGCAAAGGGTCAACGGAAGAGTTGCCGCCAGCATTGTCATCGATGTGATGTGACTCTTGAGATGAGCGACCAAGCTCCGCCTAACGGCAGATGAAATTTAGAGTCGTTGATGTTCGAGATGTGAGATGACGAGGAAGACTGCCTCTACTTGGAACCAGTAAACCTAGGAATCCATGGTTGCGCTTGTCGTCATGTCAATAGTTATTGCATACTAGTCGTCGCCCATGCACATGGTTTGAACAGCACACACTTAATAATCAATAAATAATTTGGCCTATTTAGAGTTTTAGGCTAGTACTTAATAATCGGGGAAACCCTTTTTAGGTAATAGTTATTGCATACTAGTCATCGTCCATGCACATGGTTTGAACAGAATAGACTTAATAATCAATAAATAGTTTGGCCTATTTAGAGTTTTAGGCTAGTACTTAACTTGTCTACATCATTTTTCAGATTTATTCTGTTGAAATGATTTAGTTACCTTTAGAATATAGTTCTTACATGTTATGATAATCCTTAGTACAATTTGCATGATGACGCAATATCTTTTGTTGTAGAATAGTTAATGATTTGCAGTAATCGTTCATGTTTTGTTTCTTCGATAACTAGTAAACATGCACGTGCAACGCACATCTCAACTATTGCACATAAATTCATGTGATATATATTTTGAGTATGGATTTAAAAAATCAAGAAATAGAAGACATCACTATGGAGAAACTAGAGAAGAACAATATGCATTATTAAAGCACACCACCAACTCAAATTGCCTATTCAAGTTTCGAAGTGATAGCACAAGTATGTGTGGTTACAAGGAAACATATTAGAAAAGAAATGTTAAATGTCACCAAAAGTACTATTCAGAAGTCCCAAATCCCATTTCTCTGCCCCCCATGAACGCTTACGCCCAACTCTAACGAAGTCGTTCAGCTACTGTCATTGACTATTTATCCTTCTCACGTCTTCTCCAATACCAAGGGCAGCTATCCCCCAAAACAAAAATCCCCTCAAAAATGAAAATTTGGGTGGAGTAAAATGAAAGTTAGGTATTAGACAACGGTAGCAGGTCAACACAGAGTGCAATGCATGTTTACATAGTTAAGAGATTATATTTGTAGGGGCATGAAACTTCATTGATGGAAAAAGAATTGAACCCAATTTAAATAACATATATAAATACTTCCAACAAAAGGCTGCCAAACAAACACTAAGAATTGCTCTATTCTTCAGGCTGCAAGTATTCTGAAATACAATTGAATCAGAACTCTAAAAAGTTCAGTAATGTTGAAGACAAAATGTTGATCTGAGATGCGCCAACTTAGTTATTCAGAAATTGTGTTCCTACAATAGCAGGATACATAGATGAATAGCACGGTAGCATCCTTATTCAAGTTACATTATTCAGAAATCTCTCACCACCAATTACTCGCTTCAGATTGTTGTCAAGCCCATGGATGCCACTAATGCTTGAGACAAACAGATATAGCAGCCATGTCTGCAAAGCTGACATGATGAACTAAAATGCAGATAAAGCAGAAAAGACTATGATATGTTGAGTGAGCCCAAAAGAAATAATTGCAATGCCAAGGCACATAAAAATAGATGCACTACTAGGGAAAAACCTAGCAGTACCGCGGGTCAAATGCCT